TACTTATTTTCCATAAAGGTCTTCAAGGCAAGAGTTACTAGAAACTTCCCCTTCGATCCTTTGGCCCAGTGGGGATTATGGCCCACTCTGTTGCCATAATCTCTTCATTTCTGATAGTGGTCCTTTTTGCCAGTTGGGGGCTGGCGGTGCTTGAACTTAGGGCCTGGGTGCTGACCTAGAGCCTCTCTGTGTTCAAGGCTAGCACTGTACTACTTGAGCCACAGCACCACTCCTGGCTTTTTCTGAATTGTTTATGGGAAATAAGACAAAGAAAACAAGAACAACAGCTGCCATTTCCTGGAGTATATATCAATAAATATTATTTTACAGATCAGAGAGATGCACACAGGCATTGCGGCTTTGTGTTCCTCTCCTGAGAATACCCTCCTTTGGTCTCACTGTGTGTGAAGGCCTAGAGTCTGTATAGGTCATGTCCCAGTGTATTTTAGATCTAGCTTCTGCAAATGGAGAAGCTTTTTAATTTGAGGCAATCCTATTTGGCAGTTCTTGGTCTTATTTCTTGAGCCATTGCCTGTGATTAGATCTTCATCTGTTTTCCTGTAGTAGTTTCAAAGCTTCAAGTCTTACATTATGATTTTTTTTTTCTCCTTACTCTCTTCCTTCCTTTTCTTCTTGGAGGCCTCCTTCCTGGAGCCCTGGTCATCTGGCTCTGTTTGGCACTGGTACCTTCTCTCAGGCTAAGTCCAAGTGGTCCCCCTGAGATGTCTTTTGCCTTTTTCTGGACCATGTCTTTGCTTGGTGGAACATGTTCTCTTGATACTTGATGAGAAAGTTACCTTGATGCAAATTTGATACTTGATGTACATGTTTTAAAAGATCACTTGTCTGGATGCTATCTTTTTCTGCCTACATATTTGATTGATAATTTAGTTAGACACACATTTGTGGCATTTTATTCATCTTCCTCTAGATGTTTATGGAATCGCTCTGTCAGCTTCCAGCTTTCAGTGTAGATATTGAGAAGGCTTATGTATGATGTCAGCAGCTCCCACAGGCCCTGCTGATTGGAGTTCACACAGGACAATATTTGGAGTGGGCTAGTGGGAAGCATTGTGGGATACCAGTGTTTGCTTCTCTGTTCCTGGTTGGAGATGCAGTCATTGGTCTGCTCCCACATGATTGATAGCTGCACTATAGGGTGATGTCATTAGGCACAGCCCTTGCCTACAGCTGTGCTGTGCCATTTGGACTTTGATGAGCTAAATACACCTTTTCTTCCTCATAAGTAGCCTGAGCTAAGTTCTTGCTTGTTATAACCCCAAAAAGCTGACTAATACAAATATTGCTGCCCTACTTTTAAACTCTTACTGCTTTTTTGGGATATCACTTTTTAGAGAAACCATCTCTGTCATTGTTTTTCTTCCATATAGAGTAAGTGTCTTACACATTTGTACAGCGTCCTGTGCTGTGTTTATTCAGCGTGGCCAGCACTGGACTGGGCTTTATGAAAGCAGATGACATTGTCTTGCTTTTACCATCACCCTGGCACCTTGCGTGTATCATGCTTTTTTTTTTTTTGTCGGTCGTAGGGCTTGAACTCTGGGCCTGGGCGCTGTCCCTCAGCTCTTCAGCTCAAGGTGAGCGCTCTACCACTTGAGCTACAGCGCCACTTCCGGTTTTCTGGTGGTTTATTGGAGATAGGAGTCTCACGGTCTCTCCTGCCCGGGCTGGCTTTGAACCGCGATCCTCAGATCTCAGCCTCCTGAGTAGCTAGGATTACAGGCGTGAGCCACCAGCGCCCGGCTGCTGCTTTTTTTTTTTTTTTTTTAAATATATAATGATGGTATTGTGCTTTCTGTGTGTAGTCTCTCTTCCCTGCTCTTGAAATATTTTGCTGTGAAAGACATCATTCGATGAACATTTTTGTATTGTTTTCGTATGGATATATGGCTTCAGTTCTGTTCATTGTACACTGGGAGTATGGAACTGTCCAACTGTAGAACTTTTGAGCAACTGCCAAACTATTTTTCACACTGAATGCACCCATTTGCTTGCCAACCATGTACGAGGGTTTCAATTTCTTTACATCCTTACCAGTGCTTTTTTAGTTACTGTCACCGAGTGGTATCTTGTTTTTGTTTGGGGTTGGTGCTACTGTTGTGATTAGTGAAATCGAATGCTTTTTCATGCATCTATTAGTCATTTGTATACCTTCTTTGCAATGTCCATTTAAAATAAAGATCATTCAACTTTAAATGGAATCAATTTTGCTTATTGAGGTTAATAAGTTCAAATATGTTGTGGATACTAGTCGTTTATCAGTCAATAGTTTGCATATATTTCCTTCCATTATGTGATTCACTGTTTCACTTTATTGATACTGGGTTTTTTTTTCCTTCTTCTTCTTTAACTCAGTGCCTAGGCACTGTCCCTCAGCTTCTTTTGCTCAAGGCTAGAACTCTACCACTTGAGCCACAGTGCCACTTCTGGCTTTTTCTGTGTGGTATGTGGTAGTGAGGAATTGAACCCAGGGCTTCATGCGTGCTAGGCAAGCACTCTACCACTAAGCCACATTCCTAGCCTGATAGTGTTCTTTATAGATGTTTTTATTTTGATAGTCTATTTTTTTCTCTTATTGCCTAGATAAGCCTTTCATTTCACAGCTAAAAATAAATCACTTAGTCTAGGACTATGAACACTTATTTTTACATTTTCTTCTATAGTTCAGTTCTTTAGGTTTTTTTTTTTTTTGAAAATAGATTTGAGTATTTGGTATGAGGTAGAGGTCCAACTTTATCTATTACACGTGGATATCCAATCATCCTAGCACCATTGGTGGAGAACACTATTCTTTCTGTGCTGAAATATCCTCACATCGTTACAGGAAATCAGTTGACTATACATTTGAGATTTATTTTTGGACTCTTAATTCTCACTTGGCATATCTATCCTATGTCAGTATCACACTTCTTTGATTACTATAGGCTTATAGTAAGTTTTGAAATCGAGATATGCAAGGCTTCTAATTTTGTGTCCCCTCTGTAACCTGATGGTTTTTGCTTCTCTAGGTCCTGTGTATTTATTTTCCTTTCTTCCTTCCCTTTTTCCCTCCATCCTCCATTCCTCCCTTCTCCTGTCCCTCCCTTTCATTTTTATTAGCATGCATTATTTGTGACAGTCTGATCAAATCCATCCCCTTTTTGCTCTCCCTCATTTCCCCTCCCTCTTGTTTATTTTTATGAGATTCTGTGTCAGCCCCCTGAGTGTTGGAATTATATCTTTTTTTAAAATTTTATTGTGAAAATACACGGGCAAGGTAATGGGTGCATTTCTTATCAAGCATTGTTGCCTCCTCCTTTGTTTCCCCTTCCCATCCCTTCCCATCTCCCCCCACCCCCCACTCCCCCTGGAATTATGTCTCTATAGCTAAAGATTGGACCAATTCCTGGAAAACAAAGCTGATTTTGTGTTTTATTTTTTTAGTGCTGGTCCTGGGGTTTGAACTCAGGGCCTGGGTTCTCTCCCCGAGCTTCTTTTCTCCAAGGCTAGCGCTCAGTCACTTGAAGGACAGCTTCATTTTTGGCTTTGTGGTTCTTCTCCCCCCCCCCCCCCCCCCACCTTGCAAAAATGATTTTTTTCTTCTTTCTTTCTTTTTTTTAACCCATATTTTTTTGTATTTCAATATTTTTTTTAATTGTGAAAATACAGAGGGGATACAATTACATGAGCAAGGTAATGAGGACATTTCTTATCAAGCATTGTAGCCTCCTCCTTTGTTTCCCCTTCTCATTCCTTCCCATCACCCCCCCCCCTTTTTTTGTGGTTCTTACTTGGAGATAGAGTTACACAGATTTTCCTACCTAGGCTGGCTTCCAGCTGCAGTCACCAAGTTCTCAGCCTCCTGAGTAGCTAAGATTACAGGCATGAGCCCCAGCTGCCTCGCTGCAGCCGGTATTTTTGATAGCGACTGAGTTCAATGTGTAGTGCCTACTGTCATTTGGTGTAATACTTCTCTTTTGTAACTACCTCTTTTGAGGTCTGAGTCTCAAGAATACATGGATGTGATGTTACCAGGTTTCTATTTATTTTATTTGTTTGTTTGTTTTATTTATTTTTCGTCAATTGTGGGACTTGAACTCTGAGCTTGGGCACTGTCCCTGAGTTCTTCAGCTCAAGGTGAGCACTGTACCACTTGAGCCACAGTGCCACTTCTGTTTTTCTAGTAGTTTATTGGAGATAAGAGTCTCATGGAGTTTCCTGCCTGGGCTGGCTTTGATCTGCGATCCTCAGATCTCAGCCTCCTAAGTAGCTAGGATTACAGGCATGAGCCACCAGTGCCTGGCGGGTTTCTATTATTTAAGGTTCCATATTTTTAAGAGTTATTTGCATGTAATTTATATAGAAGTAATGTGATGAATATTTACAAAATGAGCATGCCTAGGTAACAAGAGCACAGATTAAAAAAAGGAGAATTTTGTTGGCATCATTAGGAGTTTTGATATATGCTTTAGGTTAGGTTGTTTATGTATCTGTATATGCTGGTAGAGCTGAAGTCCTATATTTGGAACATAAGCAGTATAATAGTATAGTACAGTGTTTGAGGAAATGCCTTTAAGACCTTGAATGCCTAGGTTCAGATCTCAGCTCTACTGCTGACCAGCTGCAAATCCACGGCAGGTCACGTAAACTTTCTGTGCCCCCTTTTCCTGATGTGCAAAACTGAGATAGCATTATTTCATAATAAACATGCAGAGTGCACGTGTTGACCATGATTACATTTGTTGTTGTTATTATTTGTATCTTCACTGGATTACAAACCCCTTTGTCCGTCACATTTGTTAGCATTCTATTTTCAGAGACTAGCACTGTGCCTGGTATATGATTGGTAACTTTTTGAGGACAAAAGCTCCAGCCACCCTGGAGGCTGAGATAGAAAAGAAAAAAGAAGGAAGGCAGAGATTTTAAATAATGCTACTAGCATTCCTAAATCCTTTCCTGCAACTGCCACTGACATCTGCCCTATCTTTTCTTCACAATAGCTTTTGGAGCTATTTGACAGTGAAGACCCTCGGGAACGGGACTACTTAAAAACAGTCTTGCACAGAATTTATGGCAAGTTTCTTGGTCTTAGAGCATTTATCCGAAAACAGATTAACAATATTTTTCTAAGGTAAGTGGAGGGTGGGGGAGCAGGAGAAGAGGCAAAGTTAATGTTTTCATAGAAATAAGAAGTAAACGTCCCATATGTCAACCCCACAGTCTTGACTTTATTCTCCTTCTTCCCCCTCCCCAGGTTTGTTTATGAAACTGAACACTTCAATGGTGTAGCTGAACTGCTGGAAATATTAGGAAGGTGAGCACTTGTTACATAATTGCTGGTCTCAGGAAAATAGCATTCTGAAGATCAGATACAAGCTAAGCAGAGACTTCAAGAAATCAAGGAACATTTCTCAAAACTTAAAGGTTGTATTTCAGGAGGAAGTTTAGCAAGGGAGGCAGTGACAGGGAGGAAAAGGAGGAGGAAGGAAAAATAAAAGATGCTGATAAAAAGTTTTTGGGCTAGGCATTGGTAGCTCACACTTGTAATTCTAGCTAGTTAGGAAAGTCTGTGAGATTCTTATCTCCAATTAACCACCCAAAAGTAGAACTGTCAAATGGCAGCCTTGAGCACCCAGACCCTGGGTTCACGTTCTGGTACTGGCACACGGCACACACACACGCGCACACACACACACACACACACACACACACACACACACGCGCGCACACACACGCACACATACGTTTTTGGGAACCATCTGACTAGTTTTAAGAGCACAGGAGCCTTTGTTAGGTGATCATAAGCAAATTTAGCTTCTCACTCCTTTCCTACTTAAATATACTTTGAAGTAACTATGAAGCATTGATGACCACTGAAGTGGGCATAAGTATGTTGTGGCTGTATGTCTGGGTCTATAATGGAAGCTTATTGAGAGTTAACTGTCCCACGTGGTCAGTTGGTGGTATAGGGTGCTGGCTGTGCTTGCATTGCTAATTTGTATCTCTTTTCCTTTTTCCTAGTATTATCAATGGCTTTGCTTTACCTCTTAAGGCAGAACACAAACAGTTTCTGGTGAAAGTGCTGATCCCTTTACATACCGTCAGGAGCTTGTCACTCTTCCATGCCCAGGTAGAACTTGGAAAGACTGGTATTTTTTGGAGACAGCATCTGATTATATACCACAGACTGACCTTGAACCTTTGATCCTCCTGCCTCAACCTGTCAAGTGCTATGGTTACAGGAATGCACACACTTTTTACAACTGCTTTTGAAACAGAATGAAAAGTTTGCAAACTCAGTTCTTTTGACATTAGTATTTCCATAATTGCTTGTAATCCTAGCTACTCAGGAGGCTGAGATCTGGGGAATCACAGTTGGAAGCCAGTCTGGGCAGGAAAGTCTGAGACTCTTTTACCTCCAATAAATTACTCAGACAAAGTCAGAAGAGGTGCTGTGGCTCAAGTGGTAGAGTGTTAGTCTTGAGCCAAAGAAGCTCAGGGACAGCACCTAGGCTCTGAGTTCAAACCCCAGGACCAAAAAATAAAAAAAGATGTTTAAACTTGTTACAGTTTAAAATGTGAACCCTTATCTATCATGGGAGTTACATTTCCAGAGACTCCCATGATAGGTAAAAATCTAAGTAGCAGCATTATATAGTCGTCCCTTGCTGTATTGTATTGCGGTTTACTTTTTGTTCCTTAGCGAATTTTCACCTATGGCGGGAGCCTCTGGAATGTAGCTCCTGCAGTAGGTGAGGGATCACTATTTATGTGTTTTTGTTTTTTTTTGTTTTGTTTTTGGTTAGTTGTGGGGCTTGAACTCTGGGCCTGGGTACTGTCCCTGGGCCCTTAAGTTCAAGGTGAGCACTCTACCACTTGAGCCATAGCACCACTTCCAGTTTTATAGTGGTTAATTGGAGATAAGAGTCTCATGGACTTTCCTGCCCAGGCTGGCTTTGAACCTTGATCCTTAGATCTCAGCCTCCTGAGTAGCTAGGATTACAGGTGTGAGCCACTGGCACCTGGCTGTTTATATATTTTTCTAAAAAAAAAACTCACAGTACAGTGAAGCCTCAATAAGTGAACTGCAATATAGCAAGGGATGACTGTACTCTCCAAGGTAAAGAAAAGTATGTTTTTTCCACCCTGTGTTTTTCATTAGTTCTTCAAAATTCTCCTAGAGCCTTCCTTATTAATGCCATATTTTGGCTTGTGAAAGCCATTTTCAGCTAGATGTAGTAGTGCATACCTCCAGTCCCAGCAACTCTTAGTGGCTGAGGTAGGAAGTTCACTTGAGCCTAGGAGTTCAAGACCAGAGATTCCATCTTACTGAAGAGAAAAAAAGTAAATAAGAAGTAGTTCTCCTTTGCTTGATTTAGTTTACTTTTATTATATTTAAAATGAACTGATGGGACATTAAGCCCAGAATGTACAAATTGAAACCAGAGAGCAGTAGGTTTTAATACTCATTTGCACCCTTAGATGTAGAATGTAAAGTTTTGCCTTTCCTTTTTGCTTCTTCAGTTGGCGTATTGTATAGTACAATTTCTGGAAAAAGACCCTTCACTCACTGAACCAGTAAGTGTTTCGTTATAGTTTCAAAAAACTTCAGAAAAACCGCTTTTCCTGAACGTGTATCTAAACAGTTATATACCTTTAATTTTTTTTTCTTCTTTTAGGTTATTAGGGGGTTAATGAAATTTTGGCCTAAAACATGCAGTCAAAAAGAGGTAAGTGCATACTCTCGAGTGTCAGTAACTTACTGACAGTAACTTAAACTTTGTAAAGCCAGACATTGGTCTAAATGTGTGAAATCACATCTTTCCAACTGTACTGGTGCATGTCTGTAATCCCATATATTCAGGAGGTAAGAGGATTTCAGTTTGAGACCATCCCAAGCAAAAGCATGAAACCCTGTATTAAAACAAACAGTAAAATTCCTCTTCCTCCCCCAACAACAAGGCCTGAGAGAATGGATCTAACCTTTAGTATCGTCAAACATGTGCCCGCGCATGCGCACGCACACACGCACACACAAATAAACCACAGATATAATTCCATCTAAACCATGTAGCTCCATGAGGCAGGACTCTTAGTATTCTCATTTTACTGGGGATGAAATTGAGGCTTAGAGAGGTGAGTAGGTCAGGAGGTGCCTCCAAATGCCTGTATAGCATGCTTTTAGCCTGTGCTGCTAAGCCTTAGGTAACACCAGGCCAAACTCCTGTTGTTCACTTGTCACTGTCCTTGTGGCCTTCTGCATAGCATGGAGATGGTACTGTTGGTGTAGAGATGCTAGAGCATCTCTGAAATCATACCTGCTGAAATCCCCACTTTTTTTTTTTTCCTGGGTCCGGTCGTGGGGCCTGAACTCTGGGCCTGGGCACTGTCCCTCAGCAATTCAGCTGAAGGCTAGCGCTCTACCACTTGAGCCACAGCACCACTTCCAGCTTTTTTCTTTTTGCTTATGTGGTGCTGAGGAATTGAACCCAGGGCCTCAGGCATGCAAGGCAAGCGCTCTACCACTGAGCCGCCTTCCCAGCCCCTGAAATCCCCACTTTAAAGTACAGTATAGGTGGGATCTTACTGTGTATTATCTTAATATACAGCACAACTGTAGCTTTAGCCTTTTACAGGTGGCTCTGAAAGGTTCTGACGTATAATCATTTGGAGCTTTGCTGAGACCTAAACAGGCAGGAAGCTTGGGTGGAGCCTCCTGGCTCTGTCCCAGCCCTACAGCTACTCTCTGAAAGATTAGGAACTATGTGCAGGGTGGCCTGGAAACAGAGGTCAACTGTTAGGCTTATATTTTTTTGGAAGAGTACACACAAAGGGCATATAGGAACAACTTTTTTCAATCAGCTTTAATTTTCCATCCCTTGCTTTACACAATTTCAGAAGGCCATATTTTCTTTTTCTTTTTTCTTTTTTTGCTTTCTTTGCTTTCCTCTTCCTCTCCTCCTCTTCCTCCCTCTCCTCCTCCTCCTCTTCCTCCTTCTTCTCCTCCTTCTCCTCCTCCTCTTCCTTCTTTTTTTTTTTGTGCCCTCCTGGGGTTCAACTTCAGGGCCTAGGCACTGTCCCTTACCTTTTTTGATCAAAGCTAGCACTCTATCATTTGAGCCACAGCTCCACTTCTGGCTTTTTTAAAATGGTTAATTGGGGATAAAAATCTTACAGATTTTACAGACTTTGAACTCAGATCTCAGATCTAAGCCCCCTGAGTAGCTAGGATTACAGGTGTGAACAGTGTCGGGTAGAAGGTCATTTTTTTTTTCTTTTCCTTTTTTTTTTTGGTGGGGAGAGGGGTCCTGGGGTTTGAACTCAGGGCAGGCCTTGAACTTTTGTGTTCAGTGGTAGTGCTCTAGCAACTTGGAACCACAGTACCATTTCCAGCTTTTTGTTAATTAATTGGAGATACGAATTCCATAGACTTTCCTGCCTGGGGCTGGTTTTGTTTTGAAACGCGACCCTCAGATCTTAGCCTCCTGAGTAGCTAGGATTATAGGCATGAACCATTAGTATTTAGCTCATCTTATTTCTTTTTTTGGTCATGGGGCCTGAACTCTGGGCCTGGGTGCTGTCCCTCAGCTCTTCAGCTCAAGGTTAATACTCTACCACTTGAGCCACAGCTCCACTTCTGGCTTTTTCTGCTTATGTGGTGCTGAGGAATTGAATCCAGGGCCTCATGCGTGCAAAGCAAGCACTCTACCACTGAGCCACATTCCCAGCCTCTATCTTATTTCTTAATACTGTTAAGTAAAATTAAATTCTGCATTACTCCCTAACCTATGTATCTCAGATCTAAAAACAGTGTCATTTTTCTTGTTACTGAATACTTAATTTTTTCCCATAATTATTCCTCATGGCTAAATAGGTAATCCGTTTTTGTCATCACTTTTCTGTTATATTTAATACATTTAACCAAATCTTCTGTTTTTCTGATTCCCTTTTGAAATCTGAATGCTCTGTTCTCTAGGCACACAGTGCAGGAGCCATGAGAATTATTGGTTTTTATGGAGAGCAGTTGTGTGTGTGTGTGTGTGTGTGTGTGTGTGTGTATGTGCGCGCGCGTGTGCATGTGCATGTGAGTGTGCACGTGCGTGCATATGTGTGTGTGTACATGTAAGGATAAGCATAAGCATAGAGAATAGGTCCGTTTGTGCTGATTGATATATTATCATTTGTTCATACAGGGCAGTGAACGTATTCTAGTCTCTTGCACTTTTGCTGTTCTGCTAATGTTTTTTTTGTTTTTGTTTTGTTTTGTTTTGTTTTTGGTCAGTTGTGGGGCATAAACTCTGGGCGCTGTCCCTCAGCTCTTCAGCTCAAGGCTGGAGCTCTACCACTTGAGCCACAGCACCACTTCTGGCTTTTTCTGCTTATATGGTGCTGGGGAACCAAACCCAGGGCCTCATGAATGCAAGGCAAGCGCTCTACCACTGAGCCACCTTCCCAGCCTCTGCTAATGTTTTTAAAGGAGCACGCAGCAGGGAGTTCAGTGCTTGGCCAGTGCCATGGACTTTGGCACATCAGTTAAAACTAAAGGCTGGGTGGTTGGTGAGGTTGCTGGGCTGCTAGCAATCGAGAGGGGGTCTGCAGGGAGAGTCCATGTCCCCAGGCCTGGTATAGCATGTAAGGCCTCCGGGTCAAAGAATAACTATTCTTTCAGTGTTAGAGAAAACTTAGGTTTTTTGTTTTTTTTTTTTAATTTTTGTTTTTGTTTTTATAAACATATTTTTTTATTGTGAAAATACTGTACAGAGGGGTTACAATTACATGGGCAAGATAATGAGTACATTTCTTACCAAGCATTGTAGCCTCCTCCTTTGTTCCCCCTTCCCATCCCTTTGCATCCTCCCCCCCTCCACCCCACCAAAGTTGTAAAATTCATTTTTCGACATAACAACTGGTACGTCTCATTGTTGTAATGGGTCCTCCTGTACCCCTGTTTTAACGATTTGTTTTTTCCCTTCCCCTCCACATATACCAACATCAAATACAGTGAAAGCAGGGGTTATACCATGGGGGAGGGACATACAAAGCAACAAAGACATAATCTTATAAATATGTTAGAAACAATCGCATGAAAGATCGCTTTTTTTTTTTTTTTTGTCAGTCGTGGGGCTTGAGCTCTAGGCCTGGGAGCTGTCCCTGAGCAATTCAGTTCAAGGCTCATGGGAACTTAGTTTTAACAACATAGACCTCATGGTGAATTCCTTGTAGAAGGAGCGTCCCCTAATAAACATGGGATAATGGCCGGTTCATTTGTTTTTACTTTTATGCATATATTTTTCTTAAGATGGTGTAAACTCATGAGGCTTCATTGAACCTGTATTTTTTTTTTTAATGAAATAGCTTAAATTTTGTGTTTTGCTTTTACTTACAGGTCATGTTCCTTGGGGAACTCGAAGAAATTTTGGATGTGATTGAACCTTCACAATTTGTTAAAATTCAAGAACCTTTATTTAAACAGATTGCCAAGTGTGTATCTAGCCCCCATTTTCAGGTTAGTAGAAGACATGAACCAAAGGGACCTGCACAGCCTGAATTGTTTTGGTTACGTTTCATTGGTGTTGGAGTGTCATGGCCCTGGCTGCATGATTTTACTTGCTGTTTTTGCACATGATTGTGGCATTGTTTTAAATCGTAACCATGGGTCATTACCACGTGCCTCCCAGCGTGTTCTGCACCCCTGCGAGAAAGGCATGCTGGCTTTCAGATTCACACAAGTGAACACCAGCTTGCTAAGTACGAAGTGGCCTGTTGTGTTTCTTTAGTGAGTGAGAATGAATGCCAAATAATGTTTAAAAAGAAAAAGACAGTTTTCTATATTATGCTAGATGCTTTACTTATGTTATTTGTAAGTGTCATTATATCCTTTGATAACCACATTCTTATCACATTATCTACTTGTCCAGTTCTTGAGATGAGGCTCCGAGAATTCTTTGCTCAATGTCCTAATGTAATAGGGAGTAAATAGAGTTAAATTTTGATCTTGGATATAGCTTCTTGGTGAAGCTCTGCCTTCCTATGGACTGCTCTGCCTCCTTGTGGCTGCTCAGGGGGAGCACAGGGAAGATAAGCCTGAGTGTCTATCCTCACCACGGCCCTTGCTACTGAGCTGTAGAACCTATATAAGAGGGAAGCAAAGAAGATCAGGGTTGAACACATTTTTTGTCTTGTCTTCTGGCTGTCTCACCAGAGGTCCATCTCACAAACCTGGAGGGTTGACTACATGCTGCTTGACATCTTGAAAAGATTGTTCTCATTTTAGCTTACATCATTGAAGCACCCAAAGGAATCATTGGATAGTGGACTTTTCCCTCAGCTGTCAGTCAGAGACATTGGCTGTTACTTCTGTTTTAATTTTTTTTAATCTAAAGTTATGTTAGTATGTCAAAGCAGTGATCTTCCAACAATCTAGTACTTGTACCACAAAGGACAAAAGGGGTAACAAAGTAAAAACTGTTAGATGGAGTGTTCACATGAGATAATGCATGTCTGAGTATAGATAGAAAAGCTGAGAAATGCCTGGCACCAGCGGGCTCATCACAACTAAAGAGGCTGCAATGGGGAGGATTGAGATTCCATGCCATGCCAGGAAAGAGTTCAAAAGACCCTATCTTAGCTAATGGTTAAGTAGAGTGGCAGATACATGGGAGGCTGAGATCAGAGGATCACAATTCTAGGCCACCCTGAGCAGAAAAGATTCCAAGATCCCATTTCAGAAGAAAAAGCTGGGTGTGATGGTACATTTTTGTCACCAAAGCCATGTCAGGAAAATGTAAATAGGAGGACTGCTGTCTAGACCAGCCAAGTGAAAAGCAAGATCAAAGCAAAAAAGACTGGGGCTATCCCTCAATATTAGAGCTGGTACCTAACAACCATAAAGCCTTAAGTTCAGCCCTTGTCCCCGCAATGGTGGAAATAGTATATAGATATTTTGAATATTACAAGGACCTGTAGCACTCGGGCAAAGGTCATTTGCCTTACTTTCCCACTTGAATGGAATGTTTGGTGTAATGAAGCTAAAGAGTAGGAATCTCTCATGTGAACATCACTCGGGAGGTTTAAATGATGCTCAGAACCTTAGATGGGAGTAACATGTTGGTCAGCTGAAGATACCCTACCAGAGGGCTGGGTGCCAGTAGTTCATGCTTATAACGCTAGCTACCCAGGAGGCTGAGATCAGGATTGCAGTTCAAAACCATCTGGGGAAGGAAAATCAGCTGGCAGAAAGCCAGAAGTGGAGCTGTGGCTCAAGAGTAGAGCAGTAAGCCTTGAGCACAAAAGCTGAGGGACAGTGACCAAGTGGTGAGTTCAAGCCCTAGGACCAGTGTGTGCATGTGTGCTCACTTGCATACATGTACTCACATGTAGGCAGGCATGAACACGCGTGCGCGCACACACACACACACACACACACACACGCCTAACAGAATATCATGGGCTGAATGGCTTAAAGAACACAGATTTTATGTGTTCACAGTTCTGGGGACTAGAAGTCTTGATGACAGTGCTGGCCTGGTGGTTTTTAATGCTGCTTTCTGGCATGTGTGTTGTCTCCTTGGTGTGTTCTCACACAATCCTCTCTTGGTGTGTGAGGTTAGATTGCTTTGTCTGCTCTCTCTCTCCTCTACATCTATCCATCTTTCTGCCAGTTTGCACTGGATGGGGCCACAGGTATGCCTCTCCCTAGCAGTGAATGGTGCTGTCCTTAGGGGTAACAGTAGAGGGGTTAGAGCAGAGCATTCAGAATCTGCTAGCCACATGACCTTGTGACAGTCAGTAGCTTATAAGCCTCAGTTTCCCCAGCTACAAAGTGGTTGTGAGGCTTAAAGAGGCTTGTGTAGCACTGTACCTGGAGCATAGTAAATATTCAGTAAAACTATTCTCTGGACTCTCAGAGTCTAGTGCCTAAGAAATCTCACAATGTGTTTTTGAACCGAGTTGAAAAGGGACATGGAAAGGTGTTTTCACATTTGACTATTAGCCATAGTGTTACGTGCTTTTTCCTTCTAAAACCTAAGTTCTAAGCCAGGTGCTGGTGGCTCATGCCTATAATCCTAGCTACTCTGGAGGCTGAGATCTGAGGATCATGGTTTGAAGCCAGCCTGGGCAGAAAAGTCCATGAGACTCATCTCTAATAAAGTACTCAGAAAAAGCTGGGTGTGGTACTGTGGCTCAAGTAATAAATAGCCAGGACTGTTGGCTCACAGCTGTAATCCTAGCTACTCAGGGGGCTGAGGTCTGAAGCTCAGGGTTCAAAGCCAGCTAGGGCAGTAAAGTCTTGGCAAGACTCTCATCTCTAATTCAGCACTCAAAAATTAGAAGTGTCTATATGGCTCAAGTGGTAGAGGGCTAGCCTTGAACCCAGAGAGACTCAGGGACAGCACCCAGGCCCTGAGTTTAAGCCCGACAACCAACTAAATAAATTATTTAAAAAAAAGACAAAACACTTAAGTTCTTAATTTGTACAGAAGAAGGAAGACACTCCTTTTTCCTTTCCTATATATGTACTACACTTCCTAGAGATTTTAGATTTTGTTTTGAGGTATACTTTTAAAATCATAAAATCCAAGATAAGTAACTCAGGCCCAGAAGACCAAATTATAATCACTTGGTAGCATGGCAAGCAGAGAATAGAGACCTGAGATGGCAATGAGTACATGTTGCATCACAAGCATCTCTGAGGTCAGAAGCTAAATCCTCTTGGTTTCCCCTGTTTGAAGGAGCTCTGGTCCTAGGCTTGAGTTCCTAGCCTTTGTGCTTTGCTAGCAGTGTAACTTTGAATGAGTTACCTGATCTTTCTGAGCCTTTGTGTTTTTCTCTTAAAGAGAAAAACTGGCTGGCAGTAGAGATAATGCATTCTAGACACAGTATAGCTTAGGGTCTGGCCACAGGCAGTGCTTGGTAACTGTGGCTGCCATGGGTGGCTGTCTGTGGGTTTTCCTGAGCACTGTTGCTAAACCCCAGCCATGTGCTGGGCTCTAGGGTTGATCTGAAGCATGAGAATAAGAGAACAGAAAGAGGATCTGTAGGAGGAGCTAGAGTAAAGGGGATGGCCCGGAATGTGGGGGAACCTACGACTCAGATGAGAGGAGCAGACATAAAGGAGAAGATAAACTAACAGGGAGAGAAAGTACAATTTTTTCTTCTTGAAGTTGATGAACCACTTTAGAACTTCCTAGAGCTCTTAAAATCTGCAAGTATATAAAATGTGATGAATACTTCATTTTACTTTTGCTTGAACTATTTATAATGCTTTTGTTTAGATAGATTGTAATTTACTTTTGTTTTCTTCTCCCACAGGTGGCAGAAAGGGCCCTCTATTATTGGAATAATGAATACATTATGAGTTTGATAGAAGAAAACTCTAACGTTATCCTTCCCATCATGTTTTCCAGTCTTTATAGGATTTCAAAAGAACATTGGAATCCGTAGGTTTTTCAGTGTCCTTTCTCTTTCCTCTCCTCCTCTCTGCCCTCCCCTTTCTTCTCTGCTCTTCTTTCCCTTGCTTCTCCTCTTTTGTTTAATAAACTCTTGAATGCTAGGTGCCAGCTACTGTATTGTTAAAATATCTATTGACTTATGTGTGAAGGTAGCCAGAAGTATGGGGATGTGCTGGAACCAAGAAGATACTGATGCGGTAGTAGTGCTTAAGTGGATCTTCAGGGACCTGTTCAATCATAAAAAGGCCAAAGCTAACCAGATACCAGTGGCTCACATCTGTAATTCTGGCTACTTGGGAGGCTGAGATTCAGAGGATCAGGATCAGGCCAGCCCAAGCTCATCTCAGCAGCCAGACACAGTGGCATGCATCTTTTATCCTAGCTTCATAGGAAGCCTAATGGGCTAAATGGGTACTCTATACCCAAGCACATGCCTTGGCAGAAAATAAAACCCTATCTCAAAAATAACTAGCAGGCTGGAAAGGTGGCTTAGAAGGTAGAGTGTTTGCCTAGCATGCATGAAGTCCTGGGTTCGATAACTCAATACCACAAAAACAGAAAAAGCTGGAGTGGTGCTGTGACTCAAGTGATAGAGTGCTAGCCTTGAGCAGAGAAGCTCAGGGACAGTGCCCAGGCCCTAAGTTCAAGCCCTAGGACTGGCCTCCCCCCAAACCCCCCCCCCAAAAAAAAAACTAGCAAAAATCAGAGTGGGGAACTTCAGTTGTAATCATACAAGCAGGAGGACTGAGTTCAGGTTCTAGTACTATTAAAAACTAAAATTTCAAAAGCACAAAGCCATTAAAAAGGACCTGTTCTGAAACCTATAAGTTTGGGAGGGCAAATAATGAGGTATTTGGGGAATGGTGCCAGAAGATGAGGAAATAATGAAAGATGATATGGTGGGAAATGGTCTGAATAGATTAGCATTTTATGGCAAAATCCATTTCCCAGCAACCAGCTCAATCATCAGATTCTATAGGAGAAAAAAAATTAAGAAGTTTAATTCAACCCTAGGTCAGGCATTCTGTGGCCTTATACATTTCTCTATGTAATGGAAGGAAATTTTTATATGGCATTAAAAATTAGTAGGTAGAATTCAGTGCATCATATTTTTGTCTTCAGAATTTTTGCATGTAACTGCAAAGCATCATCTTAGTTTTCAAATTTGCCAGATTTTATTGATAGACCTTAAAAAAAAAAAAACCTCAAAAACAAATGAACAAAGGCATGTTAGACAGTTCAACTTCATTCTCCAGATGGCCTCTTGAGGGTCCGGGGAGGTCAGGAGGAGCTCTGTAATGCTCTGAATCCTATACTTAGTGCCTCTCCATCACCACCCCTGGGAGGAAGGACCTTCTAGAACCTTAACCAAGAACTTAAATTCTCCTTCCTTTCACGTAAATGTTTTATTTAACATATATGCCTTCACTTTTGCTGATATTGTCTGATCCTATGGGAAGCATATTCATTGCAAAGTGAGGGAAGGCTGTATATATTCGCAAAGGGCAAAGCTGCTGAGACTCTTAGTCTGGAGTGTAGCAGGCCTCACATTATCCGAGAGCTTATTCTTCTACTTGATAATGGGCCACTATTTAGGCTGCTTAGTTTAGGCTTCTTAGAGCAACCAGCAGGAGCTGGCCAGTTACCAGGAGGAACTAAGCAGAGTGGATGCACTGAGTAAATCGCAACAAGATCGATTCCTTATATAATTGCCCAGCTTAAGGGAAATGGATGGACCTAGAACAAATCACTTTAAGTGAGGTAAGCCAAGCACAGAGAGACAAATGATGCATGCTTTCTCTCATATGCAGAAGCTAGAGCTAAAATACCCCAAGACATGATAAATTATATAGGACTCTTAAACTTTCAGACACAGTGAGACCAAGGGAGGATATTCTTAGGGGGAACACCTTCGAAGGTGCAATGCCTGTGTGCCTCTGATCATAAGAAATATTATTGATTAAAATGAACTCCAGGAAATAGAAACAAGAAGTTTTTTCTTTGTTGTTGTTTTTGTTTCCTTTTTCTTTTTGTCTTGTTTATCTGGTAAAGGGGGGGGCACAGAAATGGAGGGACAAAGGGTGAACAAATGGAGTAATGGTACTAGATACTATGCTGAAAATGAACTATATAACTTGTGTGTGGGGACAGGAGGGAAAAAGCAAGGGAAAGGGTGACATTGTCAAGAAAAGAAATGTACTCATTACCTGACTTGTGTAATTGCAACCTCTCTATATAACCTTTATAATAATTTATTTATAATTATAATTATTATATTATTAATTTTATAATTATAATTATTTATATTTATAATAATTTGAAAAATTAAAAAATAAATTGCCTAGCTTCCAGAAGCTGGGTGTCATGTCTTTTGAGTATGAATAATTTAATATATAATGCATACATACATAAATATGTGCATGTATATGAAATATTTTGCAAATTTAGGCCTCTAATGGTAGTCCTGGTAGTCCTAACACAGACGCTGTTTTTAGGGTTATTTTATACCTGCCTGTGGGTTTTTATTTATTTTTTATTTTGCTGGTCTTGAACTCTGTCCCTGAGCTTCTTTGGCTTAAGGCTAGTGCTCTACCACTTGAGCCACAGTGCTACTTCTGGCTTTTTCTGCGAAGTTCATTGGAGATAAGACTCTTAAGGACTTTCCTGCCCGGGATAGCTCCAAGCCACAATCCTCAGATCTCAGCCTCCTGAGTAACTAGGATTACAGGTGTGACCCACTGGTGCCCAGCTTATACCTGCCTTTTGTTCAATAAAGTTTAATCAGGTGGCCATAGACCAGTTTATTCTGGGTATTACTATTTTAGAAGGGGAAAATTAGATTGTTCTAATTCTGCTACCACTTAAGAAGAATGTAAAGTTCCACATGAAAATGAACTGTAGGTCATTTCTAGTTGGTCCTAGTAACCAAAGGCAGAAAAGAGAATTCAGTAAAGAGCATGTTAAGACAAAAGTTATAGGGGCTGAGAAGATGGTTCAGTGGTAGAGCGCTTACCTTGCATACATGAGGCCAGGGTTCGATTCCTCAGCACCACATAAGCAAAAAGAAAAAAAGCTGGAAGTGGCGCTGTGGCTCAAGTGGTAGAGTGCTAGCCTTGAGCTGAAGAGCTGAGGGACAACGCCCAGGCCCAGAGTTCAGGCCCCACGACCAGACCCAATAAAAAAAAAAAAAAAAAAGACAAAAGTTATGTGTAAGGCTAACCATGCTCCCTCTCCTCTGCTTCACAGGGCTATTGTGGCGTTAGTGTACAATGTATTGAAGGCGTTTATGGAAATGAACAGCACCATGTTTGATGAGCTGACAGCCACATACAAGTCAGATCGTCAGCGGTAACTTTTTAAAGCTTTTTTGTCTGCTGTGCATAAAACCTTTGAGTTCTTTCCTTGTTCATTGCTGAAGTTGTTTAGATGCACACCAAATCAGAAGTTTGTTCGCATATTCATTTTTGCATGCTCATTTGCTGTGTATTAGTGTATCACCAAGTACTGGGTTAAGAGCCTGGCACATAGCTGGTATTGCAGGCCCACTTACTGAGATCATCAGGTAGCATTTCCTCTGATTCACTCCTATGGCTACCTTACTTGAATTCAACATGGGCCAATGCTGTACTGTGCTCCAGCAGCAGGATTGAGAAGGCTTCATTTGTCTAGCTTTTCGGTACCGAACTTACTTTCTGTCCTACAACCCAACAAATCCATTACAATTTTAAAGAGCAATGAAAATAATATGGAGGATAATAGTCTGGTAATAGATAAATTTTGACTCTAAGAGAGTCTATGACTCTAAGAAAGCAAAAACCAGAGGAATCCTCTAGTGTCAAAACTTACTAAAGCCTTTTTTGCTTTCATTTACATGAGACTTTTTATTGAATCTTATTCCTTGTCCATTATCTCCAATTTTCCAAAATACATACATGGAGAGATTAAGGAAAGTCTACAGAGAGCTATCAGTTGGGTGTGTGGCTTGGCTCTGATCACCTAAAAGCAAATGCTAGTATTACAGATGCTAAAACCATGGACCTTTCAAAAATACCAGAGCTTTGTGTGCATGTTCAGACCCAGGAACTTGCTGAGTCTCTTCCCTAAATTTTGTGTGATTTCCTTGCTTCTTTGTGTTGCCCAATTTTGAATGTGTTATTTGTGTTGTATTGATAATAAAATCAATGAGGGGAAAGGTTTGATGGTCAAGGGCAAAGATTCATTGTAGGGATGGCTTTTAATATGGGATATGCCGTGGCATACTTGCAGCTTAAATAACTTGTAATTCACTGCGTTCGCAGTTGTTGCAAATCATTAAACTTGTAATAGCCTTCCTTGCCTGAAACTTAAATTAAAATCTTTTGAAAATGTTAATTTTCAAAAAGCGCTCAGAAGGAAACATTAAAGGGTGCATAGTGTATGACCTTTTGTCTTTTAGAACAATCGAAAGCTCACTTATTAGCCTAGTTAAGCAAGGATTAAATCTGTAGAATTCCATGAAGAATATTGAAGAGACTGAAAGTGTGGCTTAGTGGTAGGCAAGGTAGCCCTGTGTTTAATTTCCAGCACTACCAGTTTAAAAAAAAAAAAAGTGTGAGAAGGGAGCCTTTCTAAAAAACTTATTTGATTCATTTGTTTTCTGATATTTTATCACTTAATCCCTTGAACAAGATAAGAATTAACTAACTTTGAGGTTGGTTCTAATATTCTGGCATGTTAAAACAGCTGATCATGAGTGGACTTTCTTAACAAGAGAAGGGTTTGCTAAAGCAGAGGTAACACTTTGTCAGTGAGCAACAGAAGGGTGCACCAAGCAGATGGAAACATTGCTTTCTCCATGGATGTGGGAATGAAGAGCTCAATACTGTTCTGTCAGAGAAGAACGTCAGTGGAACACTTCCCTTCTGGATGGCAGGGAGCTCTGGTTTTGGTTCAGAGCATATTTTTAGGTGTTACAAATCCCCAAATGGTGGGCGGAATAAGTAGTTAACGCTGTGAGCTTCATGTGCCAACGCTGTGAGGTTCATGTGCCAACATGAGTGCTGTGTAAAATGGAAAGGGGAAGATGGTTTGACAGAATCCTCAGCTCACTGTGTGGTTAAGTCTTAAAATCTCCACCTACAGGGAGAGAGAAAGTGGGAGAGAATAAGGGTGACAGTTTCAGAAATATTTAGAATTTTTGAAGCTAAAGTTGTCAGTCTGAAAACTGCATAAGTCAGCATAAATTTCATCTGGAGAAAAAATGCACAGGATAAATGGCATTGAACAGCCCAGAACTACTGATAAATTGAATGGAATTCTTCAGCAATAAGATGACTAGTGTCATAGTGATGGCAGTATTTGATTTAGACTGCAAATGAACACAGTATGAACCTGATCCGTATGAGTTGATTTTCATTTGCATAAAGGTCCAAACCCTTCTGCCTCCAGTCAAAAAGGTCAGATGGATCTATAAAATTGATTTATTTGGGGTCAAATCAGTATTCTCTGAGAACATTTATTTGGATTTAGGATTATTGCCAGACTGTAATGAGAAAACAAAAAGTGCTTATCTGCCTGACAGCTTGCATACAGTGCCATGTCTAGGCTCCAACATGACTTACCCAGTCTGGCCTCTTGTTCCCTGTTGTGCATATAGGCTTCCAGGGTCAAAACGACCAAAATTTGTATAATATGGATTGTACGTCCCTTTCCTTGCAGCAGGGGGCAGAGGTGTTAAGCACTGTTGAAACACTGTTAAATCACTATGGGTGTTAAACATTTATTGTAAGCACCCCCTTTAATGTTTATTTTTCCTTTAAACTGTTAGGGCTGGGGTAATTTGACTCCCTAGTAACAGCTATTAGACCCTCCCCTGGGACCCCAGATGCCTGAGTGAAGGACTGTCAGTACAATACAGCCATCAGCTGTACTGTCCCTGTGCCAGCCCGGCTGCTTTAAACACTTAACACCTTGAGGAAGCCACATGACAACCATAGATACTTGCTACCAAGCACAACTCTGGTTCCGAAAGGTACTGCTATGAGTGTATAACACATTGCACTTAATATAGCTAGTTAAAAGAAATAAGGCCTAAACACACAATATTAATTATGAAGATATAACTGCCTTAAAATTGAACATTCCTTCAAGACTGTTGGCATAAGAATTTAAAATTACTTGGATTTCTCTGGAATTTTTTGGAGGGTGGGCATGAAGATTAATTTCCATTTGTATAAATGTTAACACATTTCAAAAGTACTGGTGGTGACATAAAGTGAGTCTTGCATTTGCATCCAGAATTTATTGAATGCATGAGGGTTTCTCTTGAGTAATTATACTATGGCTGAAGTGAAAGCTTTGTTAAGTGAGGTAGTCCAGGGACTATGAGCCCCAGCCTTCAGGAATTATTTGAATCCATAGATTCATGTAGTTACCTGGGCTTTTTTTTTTTTCCTGGTTTCCTACACCTTGAGAATATAAAGAGATCATGCAGTGAACTATTTGCAGTAAATGTGAATGAATTTATCTAATTTATAATGTCTTGTGTACTTGCTGTTGGTTTGTTCAGAGGGTTCTGTGGTTTAAACTCAGGGCCTCATGTTTGCAAGACAGGCACTATACTACTTGAGCTATGCCCCTCACATTTTTTGCTCTAGTTATTTGCTTTTTATGTAAAATTGCCCATTTTTGTCCTGGGCTGATACCAGACCTTGATCATCTTGTGTAGCTGTGGGGTCACAGATGTGCGAAACTATGCCTGGCTTTATTAGATGAAAGTTTTCTTTGAACCAAGTTCCTCCCAATTTCTACTTGTAAAACAGCTGGCATTACAGGAATGATCTATCATATCCAGCTTTCCTTTCTTTTCTTTTTTTAATACAGAAATTTCAAAATGTTTTTAGCAAAGTAAAATTAGCCAAATCCATTTTAGGCCATTAGTTTTATCTGATTTTATCTGAAAGTCTGGAAATCATTCAGAAAATTAATATTGAGCCCAGTTTGAAGGATTGGTATTTATAAAAACACATCACAATAATATCATCAAATCCCATCCAGGTGATTAATTAAAATGGAAATCTCTAGGTACTCCCACACAGTGAGACCAAAGGAGGGTATTCATAAGGGAAGAACAGAAGTCACATGCTTATGTGCATTTGATCATAAAATAATTTTATTGAAATAAAATCCAGAAGGGAAAAAACTCTGAAATTACAAGTTTTTAGAAAATGACTAAATAGGAAAGTAGACATAAAGGAGAGAATGTATTTTCTTGACCTTGTACATTCTCTGTATATGTCGTATTTCTAACGTGTTTTGAGAATGGATTTGGAGAAAATGTTAGCTTCTAACTAAGCCCAAAAGAAAAAGTCACTAAGTGCTCTTGGTTTTAGGATATATATAAATCATCCTAATTTTTGTTGATTGGTAATTTTGAAGTTAATATTCTGCATTAAGTATAAAGGGATGTTAATTTGAATTCTTCAAATAATCTTTTCTTCTCCATTTATCAGTACTTTTGTGTCTATATTGCCAAAAAAGGAAACCTACAAGAGAGAAAAGCAAAAAAGAAAAATCCGTAAGCTTAATGCCAAACTTTTCAAAGACCTTTTACAATATACATAGGGAAGGCAGGCCTAGGGCCTCGTGTGTAATCCTGTAGGAGGCCAAGATCAGGAAGATGTGGTTTAAGGCCAGCCTGGACAAAAACAAATTCATCAGACCTTATCTCAACAGAAAAAAACACAAAACAAAACTGGGTGCAGTGTTGCACTCCTGTCATCCCAGCTACAGCAAAAAGTATGAATAGGAGGAGCAATGTCATCTAGGCCAGCTTGGGTAAAATGCGAGACCCTATCTTAAAAAATAACTAGAGGAGGCTGGGTGCTAGTGGCTCACATCTGTAATCCTAGCTATTCAGGAGGCTGAAATCTGAGGATTACCGTTCAAAGCCAGCCCAGGCAGGAAAGTTTGTAAGACTCTTATCTCCAATAAAAGTTACTAAAAAGATCAGAAATGGAGCTGTGGCTCAAGTGGTAGAGCAAAAAAAGCTAAGGAATAGTGTTGAGGCTCTGATTTCAAGACTCATTGGTAAATATCAAAGCATAGGAAAAATAGCTGGAGCTGTGGCTCAAGTAGTAGAGTGACTGTCTAGCAAGCACAAAGCCCTGCGTTCAAACCCCATTACTTCAAATAACTCTCCCCAAGCATCCCTCCTCCCTCAACACAGGAAAGTATAGTAAGAGGCAGTGATGGTATAGTTGCTATTTAGATAATCTCTCTAAACATTCTCAGTTGCTTACCTTATGTTCTCTTTCTTCCCCAGTGAAAAAAAGAAAGAAAAAGAACGTGAAGAATTATGGAAGAAATTGGAGGATCTAGAGTTAAAGAGAGGTCTTAGACGTGATGGGATAATTCCAACTTAACAGAAACACGACAGCAACATGACTAACCTGTGGAGTCACACATTTATGTAGTAGAAGATGGAGCAACAGTTTTCTGTATTGTGCAACTTTACAGTAGATTTCACATTTGTTTCATTATTACAACAGCACTGTATATACCTGTCTTTAAGTAAAGGAAAAAAAAATAAGGACTTCAATCCAAAGTTTGGACAGTAGATGGACTTCTCAGAACTTTGCAAACATAATCATTGTTCTAACCCTCTTAAAAAAAAAAAAGTGGTCTTCAAAGATCTGTTGATGAAATTGCTATGTTTAAATTCCATTATCAGGAGTTCTTATTTATCACTAGCAGAGAGTATGATACAATTTTCAAATGTGAACAATCTTAAATTTAGCTTATCTTTCTGCTAAGCTGTTAAATGTATTTATAGTAAAGGAAGAAAAAGATTGTCATTTCCTTATAAGTCTGTGTAACATCCTCCTTTGGATAACTTGATGAAATTTGACATCTTTTCCTTTTGCACATCTTCATGAGTTGAATGTCCACATAGAATGGGGCTGTGAATTACCAAAGCCCCTCAGGAAAGTTTTGTCTACTGGGGTGAACATCTTTCCAGTAACCAGGTAGTCCTGGCACTCCTTTAGTTTTCAAATTAGGAGTAAAATAAGAGGAGAGGTGATAAACATAGTAGGGAAGGGAATTTTGGATTCATACTTGAGTCGAATGGAGGATCCAAATCAATGTCTTGAATCCTTTGAAAACAGGCACTGGGACACCACAGGCTTCAGTGCCTGACCAGTATTAGTTGCATCCATCCTTGAGCATACATACCAGAGACAGTGTAGACATGTCACAACATCCTTTTGGACCATACAATATAAGAAAAACAAACACTAAACAACACACAACCATGAAATTGATTGCCAGGAATGTGAATTGAATTGGGATAAGAGTTGAGCAAACAGCTTGGACTGTTTGGAGTTGTTGCCTTACTTTTTAATATGTATTTATAAAGTATTCCAGCAAAAGAGGATGTAGCCTCTGGGGGGAAAAAAACCCACGTTACAGTGTTTTTTGTAGATTCTCATTCTATATATCATCACCGCGCCAGCCAGCCCTGTTTTTAGCCAGAAAGGATTCAGGATACACATTATGCATCTTCAATTGGATGCATATTCCTAACTACTGTATTTGTTACCAAAAGTGGTTCTACAAATGCTACTGAAAAAAATCTGGAAATTCCTAATGTCCTGAGTATTAATAATAAAGTTTAAAAGTGCTTTTATATCAAAGGTGCATCGTGACCAAATTGTTTAAGAAAAACACAATTGTTTCAGAAACAAGATCTAGGGCTGAATTATAGATAGATCTTCTTGGCTTTCTGCTTTGGTATTAGGAGAGGAATCTTATACCTTGGGTAGGTAAACTGCTGTAAGACTAAAGTGCAGTATGGACTTACCCAACGTGGTTCCATGACTATGTACAGAGAGCTGTGTGCTTTGGCCTTGTCTTCAGGATGCTTTTTGCTTGTGGTGGACGTGGCAGCAATAGGTTGATTTCCTCAGCTGTCACTTCCAGCCATGCTCATCGAATGAGCTGATTCCTGTTCATATGTTGAATTGTGGTAGTAGCAAACGTGAACATATGAACTATTGTTGCTTTAAATAGACAAGTATTATAAATACGGGCTTGTATGTTTTATTCCAGCCATTTAACTATTGAGTAGAATATATAGTTTTATTATTTCTAAGGAAAAGAGGGGGAAAGCCACTGACCTCTTACCCCTCCATAACTCTGTAAAAAAAAAGACAGAAACAAAACTTGGCATGGTTAATTCCCCAAGAGAAACTGCAGTAAAAAAGTGATACGCAATTAATATAATGACGAGATTTTTCCCCCTCTAAAAAGAACATTAATAGTGATCAATGTAATCAGTGTAGGCAGAGGAGCAGAGGTGTAAGATAAGAATAGATTTATTTACACTGATTAATAAATCTCTGAAACTTGAAAAAAATAGATTTACCACATCTCCTTCTGATAGCAGAAACTTTTGTTTGCCCCAAAGTCATCTTCACGTTGAAGACATTAAAATCACAGGATTATGGAAGCCTATTGGAAATCAATGCAGTCGTTTAAAAGGAGAAAGGGAGGATCCCCCTTTGCAGCTTACCTGTCCTCAGAGTTAAGGTGAAAACACAACCCTGATGCCAGACCTGGATATTAATCATTCCAAATGGAAAGGAATAAAGCCAAGTTTTAGACATAGTTAAAGAAGCAGATAGAAGTATCTGTCATCTAAAACTCACAGGCCACTTCTGAGAAGAAACTTTGTCTTTTTGAACCTGAAAGTGACAATGTGACATTCGTCATGTTGTGTGCGGTGCCGTGGAGTAGCGGAGGTAAACTGACTGTTGCACTATATGACATCCGTAAGGACGTACTGGCTGCGTTTGCAGCAGCCCTGCCCCCTTGTCCCTTGCCACACAGTTCTGCTGTTGATTGTGACAAAAATGCATCTTTTGTGTTTTATTTTGTTGGCTTCATAGTTTCCAGAACTATATATAAATATATTTTTTAAATAGCAAATATTGTAGTTACTGAGTGATGATCACTCCACCTTGATCCCTACCATATTGGTTTCAGGGATAGGATTAAGAGTGTCCTTGGAGGAAAGAAAATACACAGAATCCCGTGGTTTAGGGTGAAGCAGAGGCTCAGGCTGTGGGCCTAGAACCACGTGTGTGTGAGGTACCCATGTTCTATGAATCAAGCATGCATTCCTTTCTCTCATCGTGCAGGTGTCCCCAGCTGTTTGCCCGCTGTGTTCTGTGTTTGTCCTGTTCACCCTTCCTAACATCTGAGTGGTTTTTTTTTTTTTAATTTTTAATAAAATAAGAGAAAAGAAAAAAAATCAAGAAATAATGCCCTTGACATAGCTGGATACTCACAAGCAGGGTTATGCTCCTTCCTCTGTCTTGGGCTTGTTTGCCTAAATGGAAGAATTTAATTTACTTTGTACCTCATTCTAAGTGGGGCAATCCAGGGTGCAGAGCTAGGAATTGCTGGTAATGCACCTGCTGTCCTGAAAAAAAAAATGTATAGCCCTAGGCTCAAAGGAAAGGAATTTTTAAAAAGTATATTTAGAGCTTCAGAAGCTTAAAAAATTTTTTTTGGGGGGACTGGGATGTGGTGGGCAAGGGATATGTGGATGTTAGGATGTTATTGGCATTTTTTTTTGTGTCCCAGGGTTTTTCTTTTTTCCTGCCCCCCCCCTCTTTCATTTGGATGCACTGGCTTAATTAGCCCAGGAAGTGAAGACACATGCTTTTTTGATGCTATTACCATGTTACCACAAAATAACAGTCACCTGTAACAACAAAAAAAAAAAAGGTGGCACCAGACATGATCAGTGATGTTTTATTTGCACATGAATATTTTTATTTTTGTATACTGGCTCAGCTGCTTCTCTTGAGTGGAGTTAAGAAATGAGCCATAAAGGATTTTTTGTAATAGGTATATTGGCAATGCATTTTATATTCCTCTATATTTAATTTTGCAATTCTGAAAGAGGGATGGTGCATTTTGAGAGAAAGTTTAGCAGACTTAGATCTAGCTGTTAATGTGTGCTGCTTCTGGTTCATGTTGGCAGCAGCTATCTCTCTTGGAAACAAACATCCCATATTAATGGTGTCTGTGAATAAAGCTTTCCTTTTTTTCCATCCCTCCCTCTCCTTTCCCTTCCCCTGTGTTTTTCTCAGACCCTCCTTACTTTTTTTTTTTTTTGGAAATCACTTATTGTAAATAAGTTGTAATCCACACCTCATGTATCAATGGGGAACTTTCAAATATAAATATTACCAAGACATTTTTCTGGTTGTTGTCTTGATTTTTGACTGGGTGTAATGAGGATACCATGTCCGTTGCTTTTGGTTTGAGGAGTTCGCTTGCGCTTCATCAGTCTTTTGCTATTTTAGTATTTCATTGTCTTAGCAGGAGAGGGCAGCAACTGTTCACTTGTCTTGTTAGTGATGCTGTGCTTCTTGGTTGGTTTCAAGCTTAGCTGTGAGAATGTACATGTGTCTCTTCAAACAGCATCTGTTTATGGATAGAGGAAAAACGGAGACATTTTTGATATGAAAAGTTGCATATGAAAATGAAAGACTGGTCCAAGCAGACCATGAAGACTTCTGATCTCCCACCCTGTGGAAATGGTACAAACGGATCTTCTCGCACCGGCCAAAACACCACAGAAGGAGAGCTGAGTCTAAACTCTTGGAATCTCAAATGTTCTTTGGAAATGGTTTACTTTCTTCAAAGTGGTAATAGAAACCAACGTGAAGGTGCTCTCCCAAAGAAATGTAAGCTTCCCTTTCACATTGAGAGAGGTTCTGTACCTTGGGTGCGTCACAATAAAGCAGAGTGAAGAGTTCGCAGGTGCCCGACTGCTTTTGTTTCTTTCTGGCCTTTGTGGCTTGTTGGTGTCACACAGTAACTTAGTTTGGCAGCAGTGGAGGCTGTGTACTCATGCTTGCTTTGAGACAACCAGATGATGACTAGGGGTGTGTAGTAGTATTCATGGGCAACCAAGTGTTCAAAAGTGCTTTATTCCCTGTCTAGTCTATGGTCTGGGAAGGGCTTGGGGTAAGAACCTATTGTTTCTTAGTCCTCAAGTGCCACCTGGCATATCTCAAGTGGGGTGGGAAAATTCACTTCTAATAGGGTTCACCTGCATGGCTGATCACTTGATGCTGGCCCTGGGAGTCAGGGGTCTCAGTTCCTCAGCACAGGACTTTATCCTTGAGCTTCCTTCCATTGTGGCAGCTGGTGCTAAATGATAGGAAGCTCTTGATCTAAGGTTTGCTTCCATAAATGGCCACACCCATCACTTCTTTCATAGTCTGTTGGTCAAGGAGTCTGTTCCCCGTTGCGTGGAGGGGACCTGGACCTCACCACGAACCAGTGAGAATGTCATCCTTAAGCTGCTATGGGATTGTCTAAGCATTTAAGTCTGATCTCTCTTAGGTCACATCCAATTTTGGAACCATGTGGAATTAATGTTTTGTATTTAGTTAATCTGGTTGAGGCAAAAGTTGTTAGTTTCAGCAAATTTGCATTTCAAGGCATAGCCATTTGTTGTAGCATCTGAAGATCAAGTAAATAGATAACAATTTTAGAAGTTAGATTTAAGAGACAATTCAATGGAATGTCTATTTGCATAATGTTGCCTCCTGCCTAAAAATAGCAAAATGGAGATGAAAAATATACTGTAAAATTTCTTAATATTTTTCATCTTTTGATAGAACATGGTCCCTTGGGCCATTGGAAAAAGACTAAAACATAGGGATAGCTAAGGAAGAGTAAATTTCAAAAAAATTTTTTTATTATAGTATGTGCTCATTATATAATACACATTTTTGAAAAAGTAGATCGTGTGTGTTATCTAATAAATCTCCAGCCCACTTTCTTATCATAGCACACACCCCAAGAAAACCCCACCACCCTTTTTTTCCCTGTGTAAACTTTATAATCTTACCTTCTGCATTTAGGTCCACTATTCACCTAGTAGGTAAGTTGTTCTATAGGAATGTAGACCAGTTTTTCCTTCTCAAGTTATTACAACACTAATTACAACACTAATTGAAAAGTCTGTCTCCCAAGAACTGTTTCGGTGCTTTTGTCAAAATGTCACCATAAAGGTATGAATCAACCTCTGGGTTGCCTATTTGGTTTGTTGCTGTGATGATCTTATGCCGGAAGCAGTCATGATTAGCTTTAAGGTCTTGAATCAAGCTACCTATTCCATTTTTTTTATATATATATATTTTTTTCCAGGGTGTCTCTCGGTAGCCTTGGTTCTTTGCATTTCTACATAAAATTTACAAACATCATTCTGGTTTCTAAAAGAAAAATAAAATGGAATTATGCGGGCTGGGAAGGTGGCTCAGTGGTAGAGTGCTTGCTTTGCATGCATGAGGCCCTGGTCGATTCCTCAGTACCACATAAGTAAAGAAAAAAGCCGGAAGTGGCGCTGTGGCTCAAGTGGTAGAGCGCTAGCCTTGAGCTGAAGAGCTGAGGGACAGTACCCAGGCCAGAGTTCAGGGCCCATGACTGGACCCCCCCCCCCCAAAATGGCATTATGCTTGGGACAACTTTATAATTTGGAGGCAGGATTAATATTTTGATATTACTGAATAGTTTTGTGTTCTGCTCTTGTTTAAATATGTCCTTTAAAAAAGTGTTGGAAACTGGGTGCCAGTGGCCCACACCTGTAATCCTCGCTAGTCAGGAGGTTGAAATCTGAGGATCATGGTTCAAAGCCAGCCTGGGCAGAAAAGTCCATGAGACTCTTATCTCCAATAAACCAAACAGGAAGTGACTCTGGCTCAAGTGGTAGAGTGCTCGCCTTGAGCTGAAGAGCTGAGGGACAGCGCCCAGGCCCAGAGTTCAGGCCCACGACTGGACCCCCCTCACCACCACCCCTCCCCGCGCAAAAAGAAAAAAAAAGTCTCAAAGAGATTCAAACCACAATTCATAGATCTCAGCCTCCTGAGAAGCTAGGATTACAGGTGTAAGCCACCTGTGTCTGGCTATTTGCTGTTATTATATAAAATGCAACTTTAATAGTAATTAGCATCCTTAAGTCTTGCTAAAAGTTAGAGTTCAACTAATTGTTATAGATTCCTTAGATTTTTTTTGGTTGCAGGACTTGAACTCAGAGCCCGGGACCTGTCTCTGAGCTTTTTGCTCGAGGCTAGGTTTCTACTGCTTTGAGCCAACACACCAGTTCTGGTGTTTTAGTGGTTAACTGG